GTCAACGTGGAGATAAGCTTTTAGCATTATTGTGTTTTCCCGATGTTAATGTTGAACGGTGTAGCTGCATCACCTGCAAAATTACTTTCTTTTCTTTTTTCTTTTCAAGTGTCAATGCTCTTGAGATGCCAAAATCCCAGTCAAATAGGGAACAACTCATTCTCACCAGTTTAAAATTAAAAAAGTAACAGTTATCTCTGAAATTTCCTGTAGCAGTAAGTTTTTTCCTGTTCATATATAGTAATGGATGCTTTAAACGCAGAGCGTGAGAACAGTACTTACAAACACACATCTGCTTTGGGTCAGCTTCTGCATGAATAATGCCCTCTGAGTATGGTCTGTCCTCCATCCATCCTGGACATGAAGGTGCCAGTTAAGCAGGAGAGCAGCAGCATTTCAGACCACTTCCATTCTGTTTCCTGCCTAAAGTGGACAGTCAGCCCGGAGACGTGGTTCCATACATGGCAATCCTACCACATCTTACGCAGTTTTCCATCTAACCTCATGCTCACCAAGCAACTGTTTCAATCTGATGATCCATTACCCTGCAACCTGGTCTTTGGCCATGGTTAGTGTGTAACTGGAAATCTTGATTACTTCTACAATATGAAATAATATTAAATTAAAAGTGAAGGTTTTGAGACTAAGAGTTCCTTCTTACCTTTCCAAATCAAGCACCTATTGGAGCTGCCCTTTTTTTTTACTATTACTTACATGAAAACTAAGCTCTATCACATAGCACAAGCTTTCAGCCAGAAGTTGGTTCCAAAATGTTTGTTCTTATGGCACAACTGAGGGGAAAAAAAAAAAAAAAAAAAAAAAAAAGGAGTTTATTAGAAGCAAATTTTTCTGATTGTACAGATTTGAAAATTCACCACTATGTGCTTTTTAGGTATTCTTTAGAATAACTTTGCCTTGGGGCTATTGTAAATTTTTCACAGAAGAATGATAAAAAAATAAATCAGGGATTACAAATGATCAAAATCCAAACACATCTGAGTGAGAGTCATTTTAGAAATACTACAAGATCAAGAAATGTCATGTTTTCAGCATATTCTCTGCACATTTGACCCAGATGTGTGCCATACAGCTGGCACTTCAAAACTGGCTGAATTATGCAGTTATTCTGCCTAGTGCTACTAAAAGGGAGCAAGATGAAGCCATCAGTCACCTTTCATTAAAAATCACAGAGGGAGAAAATAACCATCAGCTACATGTTGTGCAAGTCTTGTGCAACAAAAAAAATTGTTAATAGTGCCAGATTCTGGGTAAGGTGTTCCACAGCTTGTCTATGCATTATTGTGAGTAAAAGAGTTCAGTTGTTTTAAGCCAACCACCTTTCTTTGATTCTCCTTGTTCCTGCAGCCAAAAAGACAGCAAACAACTATTTACCCTTCTGTCTTTATTGCTGCTGGCCACTCTGGAGATCTAGCATCAGATCATCCATCCTGGAGACTCCCATATATTTAGTCATTCCCAAGAGTGGAGCTCTGACCAAGCATACAACTTACCTTTGTGGTGGACTGACCCTGGCTGGATGCCAAGTGCCCACCAAAGCTGCTCAGTCACTCCCCTCCTCAGATGGACAGGGGAGAGAAAATATAACCAAAGGCTTGTGGGTCAAGATAAGGGCAGGGAGAGATCACTCACCAGTTACTGTTACAAGCAAAACAGATGTGACTTTGTGAAATTAGTTTAATTACCAATCAAATCAGAGTAGTGTAATGAGAAATAAACCCAAACCTTAAAACACCTTCCACCCACCCCTTCCTTCTTCTTGGGCTCAACTCCACTCCTGACTTCTCTACTTCCCCCCCTGCAGCAACAAAGGGAAGGGAACATGGATTATGGTCACTTCACCACATTTTATTTTGTTTTGGTTTTTTTCTGCCACTCCTTCCTCCTCCAGACCCTGCTGCAGTGTGGAGTCCCTTCCATGGGAGACAGTCATCCCTGAACTACTCCAGTGTGAGTCCTTCCCATGGGCTGCAGTTCTTCACAAACTGCTCCAACGTAGGTCCCTTCCACAGGGTGCAGTCCTTCAGGAACAGACTCCTCCACTGCAAGTGCCCACAGGGTCACAATTCTGCCAGCAAACCTTATCTAGCCTGGGCTCCTCACTCCATGTATCCACATGGAGCACCTCCTCCCCTTTCTTCTTCACTGACCTTGGCGCCTGCAGTTACTCTTCTCACATATTCTAACTCCTCTCTTTTCCAGCTACTGATGTGCAGTCGGGTTGGGTTTTTTTGCCCCTTAAATGTTTTATCACAGAGGCACTACCACCATTGCCAATAGACTTTGGCTCTACCAGGCATTTCTCTATTGGTCCTCAGGGAAGCTTTAACAGCTTCACACAGAAGCCACCTCTGTAGCCGCCTCCCTGCCACCAAAACCTTGCCACGCAAACCAAATGAAACCTTCCAAGGAGTCAGATCTAAGCAATCAACCATTTTCAATGTTATTTGTGCAGCTGGATTAAAGTCCCCACACTCCAGCTGCACCTGAGAAGTTACAGAAAGAGAGTCACAACGTGTTATTAGTGCAGACGTTTATCTTCGGCATTTAACAATCCCATTACATTTCAGAAAGTTTGCATAAATGACTTTTTACCACCAGTGGCAGCGCAAACAAAATTTAATGCATACAAAACCTCTAATATTTGTATTTCAACAAATAAAGCTGCTACAGAATGTATCTTGTTCCACAATGACAACTTCAGAGTAGAGGCAAGTGCATTTCAGCCACAGTAGCGTAAACAGCATGCAACACATGACATTAAACAGATGCAATGTCCATGTTTGAAACATCAAATAAAAATTAAGATACATTGAACAATCATTTGAAACATTGGCCATGCTAAAAAATGCCCTTTGCAAGTTACCTTAATCACCAAAAAAACCCCAGAGAACCCTCTTTTTTTTTTTTTTCAGTGTTTACTGGCAAAAACTAGTATGACAATTTCCACAGTACAATTTATAGTTTGATACTTATTTTTACAATAGAATGCATATGAAGTATTATGATAAAAAGTTCATAATCATGTTATAAACCATCTTCAAATGTTCATAAAATCTTCTTTTGGCTAAAGTTCAAAATAATTTCAAAAGGTGTAGCAAATCACTAATATTTAATTCCCTAGAATCATTTTGAAATGCATTCTTCTCTTGATTTTAAATTATGCATCAAAATTTCAGACTCATCTGAGCAAGCCTGTTTTACCTAGTGGCACAATTACTGTATCCTAATAGTTCCTCTCTGTCAGGTTTTTCAGGCTTCAGGAAACAGTTCCCTTTAAAAATATGTATTTCTTTATTTTGTGCAACATTTTTACAAGAGCAGAAGTGCACTAGAGAAATTTCTTTTCTAAAAAAGGCATTTTGAAGAAAGTTTTTCTTCCCGCATACATGTGACCAAAGTCCTTGGAAACCGAGGAACAACTGACTAGAATTCATTTCCCTTACTGAAAAGAGTACACAGTTCTGTAAAAATGGACTACAAAACCACAGTGCTAAATAATGCCCAGTTTTTTAGACCTTTAGGATAGACATAGTAATGTACATACACAGTTTGTGTGACACATTAAGTTTTTACGGGCAATTTTGTCTCTTCATAAAAAATAGATGGTAATACAAAATATTAAAACCAAGCTATATTAGCTTGTACCACATGGAGTTTTTATACACATATGACATTTTTTGAAGAACTATTATACGGTCATATATTAAAAGATCATTTTCAAGTAAATTATGATGCAATTTCAGAGACAAGAACACATCTAGAACACATATTCCAGCAGTATCTATTCCCAGTAATCTGGAATATGCAAAATAAAGCCTTTTTAAACTTACAGAAGTTTACTTCCACATTTCTCAGTTTGAAGCCTATTCATTTTCTGTATGCAAGACTCCTGATGCCTTAGATGGGAATTAAGTATTGGGGCCCATTCCAAAGAAATTTGAAGAAAAGTGCAGTAGTTATCACAAACTCAGAGAATTGAATTACATTTTCAGGAATGGCTAAATATTTGGGTTCTTGATTTTAGACTCAGTAACGTATATTGGTTTATGCCCTCATCCAACAGAGCCTAAAAGGGGAAGTGGCTTTGTGGTACTCTGCAAGGTCACTTTCAAGTACTTTTGGGAATAAAGGTCAGAAAGACCTAACTTAAAAATACTTAATATCCATTAAGATTGAAGATCAGTATACAGACATATTAGAGATTAGATTTAATATCTGTATGACCTCCACTGGTTAAACAAAATGCTTATAAACATTATATACAGCAATTTAATGCACCGCCCTGCCAACATCATATTTCTTACATGTTTACCATTGATCACAATTACAGTTGAGAAGTTCTGAATGATTCCTGCTCTAAGTGGTGAATGCTTCTTCTGTAACTGCTATACACCAAACAGCTTACAATACTGGCGGTCTTTCATGTAGCAGAGGCCAGTTCTGGTTCCAGCAGTTACAGAAATAACAGAATTTGGCCTAGTAAGAACCTGGTTTTGGTTACAAAAGTAGTTATGCTATACTTCTTTGTCTCAAACTCTTTTCAAAAACACGATTGTTTTATTAGATGCTGCTCTACAAAAATACAATGTAAGCATAATACATTTTATCTACAATTGCTTTGTCACTTGAATTGCATTGCTATATGGTAAATATAGGAGTTGAAAAATAACATTATGTTTTAACAGTGACAAAAGAGAAAGGACTCTGCCAGCTCCTGTCCACTACAAATCATAATAAATGCTTGCTTTGGAAACTAGCAATTCACTGGCTGCTACAAGTGACACAATCCATTAAACAGATTTTAGTCAAAATGTATATGCCCTTGAAATTAACTTATTTCCAGTGAATTTGAGAAACTATTTGCATACATTTTACAGGACCCCTCTCGTTAATAGTCACTGGAGCGGGCTGCTCTTAGTGGGGAAGTCAGATCGCTGTCCCAGAAAGTAAAAAAGGTGTACAGAAACAGGTCACATTTTTTAACTGGTAGGAGTTTCTGTTTCTGCTTTCCCCATTGGTGCCTCAGGAAAAAGCAGTTTTCTAAGTATGTTTGCATAGAATGGTCCATACACTTGTTTATTGAAGTTTACAATGCTCGCATACTGAGATCCAACAAGCTCCATCTCCGCCTGAATCACAGAGAGGCCTCCTGGCATAGCAGGCATACACTTCTGAAAGCTCGGGAGAGCAAGCAAGCTCCGCATGAAGAACTGGATTCGTTTGTCTGAAATGGAACATAAAGTGTGCTCAGAAGAAAGGCAAACCCAAGATGAAGCCATGCTCGCTCTGTGAGCACCCTGCACATCAGAACAGCAAAAAAACCCAACAGCATAGTTAACAGCTCCTTCCCAAGCCCACAGTGCAGTGGGAAGCAATACTGAGAGCTTCTTAAAGTTGGCTCCTGAAAGGCAGACACAGGATAAACCTGCTGCAACAAGTTATATTACCTAGTACGAAGGAGTGCCAAAAAAAATCACCACCAGATTTAAACCCAGAACTGACAGAAGGGAGACTGAATAGCACTCATTTTTCTAACTCCTTCTTCAAAACACTACCATGTCTAGGCTTCTTCGTACAGACACTTTTTGAATTATTTCTAGCAGCAACTAACCACACTGCAGCATATCAAGAACACCACCCATAGGTAAACAACATTTCCTTACTCTTAGTTGACCCAAGATTATACTGCAGTAAGAAAGTGCTTTTAAAAAGTCATGAGACAGTGGATTAAGCTTGCTGGGAGTGTGTTTAGATACAGACACATACAACAAGACAATTATTTGTTATCTTACTAACCAATCAAGGAGCTGACGGGATTATTCTCTTCGACAATGTGAGCAATTTGACCCAGTAAATTACTCTGCGTTTCTTCACTAAGAGTGGGAAGACCTCTTTCAGTCAGAGACCTGTTCACTTTGCTGCAAATCTGGACACCAATAGCATTCAGAGCCTCCTTCAAATCAAAATTTCTGGAAGAAATAGAAAAGCATTAACTTTTGCAGTTTCTGTAGCATAGGTTGTAAGGTGATTTCACTTGTTTCCTTTCCCTTTCATTTTCAATCTTCTCTCCACAATGAGAGAACTCATAAAAGTTATTTTGCTTTTGAGGATTTATGTACCTCTAGCAGATAAAGGACAGATCTCCATGTGCAAGATAAAATAAGGACATAATTGTGATTCAAACGGGAAAATTAATTCCCAATGTGCAACAGTGACACCAGTTAGTTTCACCCTTATGCTTAGGTGTTTTCCTGGGCCAGAGGCATAGCATTTGATGAGAAAAAGCAGAGTGGGAAGCTGTTGCAAGAGACACTCTTTTAGATCACATCAGACTTGCTCGTAGTGCGAGCAGCAGCAGAAATAGCCAAATAGCTTCAACTACCTAAAACAATTTTGAAGCAACTGGGAAGACAATTTAATGAGTGCATTGCCACAGTCTCTCCCGTGTTAGAAGTGTATGAATGAACTTTACTACGAGGCTCCAAATTCTGTAGGCTAACATCAAGATTAAGATTTCATTAAAATGTGACTTTGAAAACGCGTGCCTAATATACAGTGGACTTGTAACGGGAATATAGAAACAGATTATTAAAATTTGGTGTCTATTATTAACAAGGACTGGTTATGACATTTGAATTGTTTCCAGGAGGTTTTAGGTCCACCTGGTATTTCCTGTTAAAAAAAAAATTAAATATGAGAAGCTATAAAAGAAAGGGCTTACTTCTTGCTCATGCCTTCAAGAAGCGGAACAGAGATCCTTTTCAGTTGCTCAGCAAAATCAGGAACATCTACAATTGCTGCACCCACCATATTGTTTGTTATGAGACAAACACAAGCTATGATTTTTAATTGATTGAGCTTTTCTCTCAACTCCTGAAGACGAACTTCATCTGTTATTAGAGTCTAGAATTGAAACAATAATACCGATTAAGGAACACAGGATGAGAGAGACAGGGAAAAGGACAGATACAAGACGTGGTCACAAAGCATCAATATTTTTAACCACAAATATGCAAAGTATGAAGAGATAGATGCTGAAATATCCTGAACATGTAGTACTGCAGAGTGGCATTATGTACAAGCACCAGAAGTAAGCCTGAGGCAGGAAGAAAGGTAATGCCTTCAACACAGAGAAAACTCAGGACATTGCAACTTATTCCTCATCACTGCTGGCAGAAACATGCAACCAACAATTCAGCCCATGATGTGGAATGCTCAAGGGACCCAGTGGACACTGCAGTGATCAAGGTTACAGACAGAATCATCTCTTGTATTTAGCTGTTCTTTGAAAAATGCCACAAACCATAACTGATGGACAGTGATAAACAACTAACTGTGCATGACTACCACCAGTTCAGCCACCAGAGCAGGTTCTGCAAGTGATGCATAACCTGCAACAGGCAAAAAGCCAGTTGATCATACCAAGAATGTAAGCAATTCGCCCAGCAAGGTGTAGCTGGGGTGACTTATTTTAGGTTAGAAGTTCATCCTAACCAAATCCCTCCACTCAGAAGCACTGGGGCATTAACACTCTCCTGCTTGGTAGTAATTTCATAGTATGACAAATTAGATCCACTAGGGGATACCTGTGTGTGTCTCTTATTCAGAACTGTTTGAAAGAAGGTAAGAATATGGTGGTTTCCCTTCCAACCACTGACTGAGAGCACTAGGATCATGTATTTAGCAAATTCTTTGACAGACCACTCTAAGAATAAGTAAGGTGCCCACTGCAGATGCCAATTTTAGCCTTGACTGATGGCAAATTTCAAATTTGCTTTATGGGAAGCTGCAGAGGTCAGTAATCAAGACCTGGAGGCAAAACCTGAGCATTGAATCTTGAAGCAATAGTAATACCTAACTTTAAAGGGCTTCATGTTTTTATCAGTTCTGTTCCTAAGCAAAAGTGATCCCACCACAGTTCCTGCTGCTGTTAGGAAAACAGGTTGCCACAGTCAATTCTCTCAGAGATAAAGCCAAGTGCTGTTAATACAAAGCTCAGCTTTTGACCATGGCCGAGACCACTCTTAGGGTGGAGCTGGTGAGCTACAAGAGAGCAGAGGGAAAACAATCCTTACACTACTCTTCTCTAGTCATTGACTGCCCGTCTTGTATTTTGGAAGGCAGACTAGCAAATTCCAAATTTACTACGGAGGAATTTAAGTACAAGAGAATATGTGACTCATTGTCATCAATAGCAGGTTTATACGACAATGTTTTCATATAGCTAGAAATCTGTATCAAGACACTGAAATATATTCCTTACCTCTGGAATTGTTTTGCGATAATCCCATTGTAACAGTTTCAAGTAGCCATTGTTTAGCACCAGTGTGGGACTAATAGTCGGTTTAGAACCACCATCAGCAACAGGGGATGATGAAGATTCATCAGAAATAGATGACAATTCATCTTCTATTGATTCCTTTATCCATTCTGTTGTGAGATCCAGAGCACCTAAGCATTGTAAACAGGCACAGATTTACTGCATGCTTTCATCAAAATAAGCACTAGCTTGAGGAAGAGAGCTGTACATATGAACAAGAGTCTGAAACTTCTGAAGGCTAAACATACACAGTGGACAGCTGAGTTTTCACACTTGTAAACTCCCTCCTTCACTTTTTTCCATTGGTCACCTTAATACTCCAGCTAGCTTTCACAAACCAAACATTTTTTAAACTTCAGCCAAGACTTTGAGGTACAATGCCTTAATGTCTGAGTTCCAACAGTATTTTTTCACCTTTTTGAGGGAGTCTACTTAATAGTTTGGGCACAGGACTGGAAAGTAGAGGTGAAGGGAGATCAACTGTATTAACAGCAAATGAAATGCTTTTGAAAGAGTTCTTTCTCGGGCTGCATACATAAACACTGCAGGGTCTATCTGTGCTCAGGGTTCCCATTTTAGAAGCCTGTGCTCCAGAAGTTAGTAAGTTTCCTTTTTCTTCTTGGAAAATACATTTTCCTGAACATTGTTTAGCTGTATTATGCAAAACCTGTAACAGTGGGTCGAGCTAACTTTGCACCACCTAAGAAGTTTTACTCTGAGGTTGCCTTTTGTTTATGAAAAAGAATTGATCCTGTCCCAGATTCCAGGCACACTAACTGGTTTTACATGTTCACTTCAGACTAAGGACAGACTAGCTGCATACAAAAGAGATGAAGTATCATCTTTCAGTATGTAGGGCTTCTGCCTCCAGATAGCAGGAGACACTGTTTTTCAGATACTAACCAATTTAGTAAATACAAATTTATCTGAAATTGCCCCAGATTACAGATAAACATATTTTACAGCAAGTTAAGCAATTGCTCATTGGCAGCTTGCTTGTCAAAGACTTTTTGCATTAGTCGCATCCAGACAAGAAACTGAAGTTTTCCTCCAAATTAACTGTAATTGATACATTTTTACAGCAGGCCTTTAGACCACTTTTTAAAGAAAGGTTTAAATGTAACATGATACCTACTTGGTGTTTCTTCAAGAATTTCCTGGAATTTTGTTCTTTCATAGTCCACCAAATTACGCTGAAGGTATGGGCGGAGGTTTTGAATTGTGTAATTCACCATATCCAGTTTCATCAGGTCCAAAACACGAAATATTTCTCTGAAAGGAAGAGTTTAAAATTTGACAATTACAACACTCTGTTGATTTTGATGTGAGGTACATGTACGTTAGCACTTTATTTTCAGTTCTGGGGGAAGTAAGCTCCTTCATTGGTATTTCAGTGTAACAAGTATGCTACCTATCTTTCAGGATACTCAGAGGAGTATTGTGTGCAAGGCTTGGTACAAGCTACAGAGAACAGGACAAATATGTGGCATCACTAAATGCTACAACCCTATAACAGAACGAGAAGGGGGTTCAAGGACTATGTCAAATGGTACATTTCAGCCTAAGAACATATTTTAACTTTTTGGTCACTCCAATTTCATCAAGAGAAACAATCCTTCTGACCCAGCTGCTTTGGTCCCTGTATATGACCCAGGTTGCAATATAACCACAACTACCATTTACTCTTTAATAGTTCATTGAACCTAACGAACAATAAACTATTTTCTGTCGTTTTATGTGAGTGTTTTACTCAAGTTAGAGATATTTAAAATCCAAAGTCTGGCCTCCTAAAGGAAGTATGCAATAAATCAAGAACTAATGGTACAAGTGTGCTGCTTAAATTCTTTAAGGATTAATGAGACTGAAAAATCAGTCTCCGAAACAGCTTATTGCAAGAGAGCTTCTTTTGTTGTTGTTGTTCCAGTGGTTTATTCAGAGCTGGCAATATCTGATCTAGGCATTCTACCCCTTTTAAAAGATACACAATATTCTAGTCACAGTGTGTCACAGCTCCTCCCTTCAATGCTTTTGTATAAAAATATTTTTACATACCATCTGTTTTCAAACTCTAGAAAACTGACGCAAGACTTTTTAAGACTTTACCCCCTCTCTTCCATTGCCCAGTACTCTTTCAGAGAAGCAGTTCCTCCTCTAAAATACACCCAAATACCAACCTGAGTAATTCCACGATATTGTCAGTTGCTTTTAACTGTTTTATATCGTTGTCTCTTATTGGAGCACACAACTTTCCCATAGTGTTGATGATATAGATTGCTAGCCCATGAATATCAACAGCATTATGTTCTGCCTGCTGTCTTATAAGATCTGTATCCAGAACTTCACAAATTTGGTTTTGAATCCTGTTTGCTCCAGGAGTCAGGAATGAAAGAAGAATCTAAAGTAAGGGGGGAGGGAGGGGAACAGGAAAAATTTAACAATAAAACCAAAGCACTTTGTAAACACACTTAACTAAGATTTTAATATTAATGTCAAGTGTATTTAGCTGACCAGCTATAACAAGACACATTAAGACTGAACATCACCTAAGGTAGCAGTAAAAAAGGACTGGTAAAAGGATCACAGTACAGCTCTGCAAAAATGCTCAAAGCCAGTAAACCAAAAATGAGACTTTCAAACACTGGGAGGCTGTCCTGTAAAAACATTTACTAACTTAAAATTTTGAGAGACTTATTACTGTGCCAGAAGTGAAGGTCTGTATGTTCCCTTGTGTGATCACCATTAACAGTAGTCTATGTGGACGGGTGCAGTTGCATTTATACCCCTGTTCGTGCCCCAGGCTCACAGCACATTGCTGGAAAGAGGCCGGTAGAGGTGCGAAGCTTTGAGAAGAGAGATGACTTGCAACCAATCATCATGCAATGAATGCCAGGTGGACATGTCACTGCATTAGTGGACATGGTTTTTAATATAAATATACTATAAATAGACACCTATTTGCATTTCTGAATAATCATGGGTTCATATTAAAAAAAAAACCCAAACCTTGCAGGTGTTGGTTTCACTGAGTTAGCAGACCCTTCAAGTGAAGTAAGAGACTCTCAGACCTACCCGACAAAACAATACCAAGGCAAGAGGAAAAGAAACATTACCTCCTTAATTTCCTCAAAAAGCTTGATAGCATGTTCATATTCTGGAGGATCTTCATTCAGTTCTGATTCCAAATGATCCCAGAACGCCTTGTGTACAATTTGTTTCACTGTGCCAGCAAAGCTGTGGAATAAGTCAATTAGATAAAGACTTTAACTAACTTTCATCCTTGATAGAAGTGTTTTTGATTAGGCTGATCACTTGTTGAGAAACAACACCTCACTAACTCCTGTGCCCTGCAATCTTATCTTTCTTGGGCTGTGGATCACCAGCTCCAAAAACATGGTCCAGACCAACAAGCCTTTCCTAAAACACCTGTGTTTTATAAGGTAGTGCTCACCATGCACATGTAGGTAAAGAGATATTATGTTTCCTTATTCAACTTGTATTCATTGTCCTAACCTGGTATGTCATGTACTAAACTTTCTGAAGAACTATTCTCCATCATGTAACCAATTATCAGTTACAGAACTTAAGCAATTCAATTTTAATTTTTTTTAATTTATTTTTTAAACACAAAAGTTCTCTCAAAGTAAAGACCAGCGTAATTTTTAATTTAGACAAGTCTGTACATAAGAACATTTTAGCAATCTACATTAGGGAAGTTACTTCACACTTTCTCTGAATCTCTAGATATTTTTGCATTTCCTGCAGCACCAACATCAGAGCTGTGTTCATGATGAGCTCCACCTTATCACTATGGCACCAATGAGCTACTACATACAACTGCATACGTGGTCACCACTTCATATTCTCCACAGGGCTTGGAACTGCACAGAACAGACCAATACTCATTTTCAGTATAAGCATTCGTACTGCATTAGGCTTATCTTCCACATGACATTTAAGACAGAGCAATATGCTCTAAGGCAGCGTATCAGCTCAGCTGCAACACTTGTTTCAAGCAAGATAGCTTTGACAGTGACTGCTGGAGGTGCAGGATAAAAATCTGTAGCCTTCCAAAGTGCTCTAGGGTTTTTTTTCCCTTTTTTTTTTTTTATTGTTGTTAGTTTGTGTGTTGGTTTGTTTGGGGTTTTTTTTTTCCCCCCCCTCTCCTCTCCATTGTTGTTGTTTTTGGGGTTTTGTTTGTTAGTTGTTTGGGTGTGATTTTTTTTTATTTTTCTTTAATTTGCTGCTTATTTCTCCTATTCCCAATCCCAGTGCTGCTTTGGGCAAAATTCAGGCTCTTACCTGTTCTGTGGTAAGTCTTCATGTTTTATGCAAAAATTTGCATTTACAGCTATTTCATGAGCTAGAGTCAAGTTTGTCAAATTTCTTGCAGCTGCCATCAGTTCATCAAATGTAATAACCTTGGGAGGGCTTGCTGCTGGAACAAATAAGATCATTTCAAGCCAAATATCTATATGCACAAATAAGTGCAACTGAAAATAGTAAAATTCTGAAATTTTACTGCTTGCTAATTAACTTTAGTACTGTAGAAGAAACAACCTAGGACTACCAAGTCTTTATATCTTCTTAAAACACTAACTCAGGAAACTCCCAGCTTATCGGGGTGCATGTGGGTAATGCCACAGAAGCCTCATAACACTGAGGAGCAACTTTGTACTTCTGCATCTTAAGATATTTTTTCCTTTAAAACAGGATCTTATATTCCATTTCCTATTGACTGCTTGGTAAAATCCACCAGACCAAAAGCATGGGCAATAACAGGTACCAGACATCCATTATATTTCTGAACACATAATGGCTGTACTGTAGTTTTATTGCCCACGGAGGTTCTGAAGGTACTGACTTGTGAAGCTCCCACTTACGCTCCATAGCAAATACATCAGAAGTTACTTTTTTTGTAAAAAGGAAGTGCATTAATATGACAAAAAAGTATTAACATAACAGAAACTTTACATTGGAAAACATGAGTAAATTCCCAAAGTTTCTAAACCCCCAAATTCTGTCAATTAATTTAGTATTTGGAATTAATTCTTTGAAGACTGATAATAAAGAAAGACAAAGAGCCAGCTGCCAATTGCAGCTCCACTAACAACATTGGTTTAATGTGAGACTTCACTTACATAGATGCTAAAAAGTTATGCATGGTCTGAGAATGCTTACAGACATGAACATGAAGCACACCTTAACTGAGGTTTTATTTACTGTTACTCAAAAGACCTTCCTTGTGCAAGTGTGCGTCTTCTGTTTGATCCTGGTATTTATGAAAGAAGAAAAATGTGAATTTGAGATTAAGCTCATGTTGCTTGATCTAATATTATAAACCTGTAAGTTACGGATTTAATTTTTAAGTGTATGGAGCAAACAGAAGAAACCCACCCTTTGCACAAAGCCGTATCTGCTGGAGTGGGAGACAGCTACCAACATCAAGATTAGCTCCAGGTTAGGATGTCCGGCACACTTTTCTTACGCTTTCTGAAGGAGTGCACAGGGAGACCCCCACGGACAGAGCTGCTGCTGGTGTTCCACACACAAGGAGATGCGCTGCTTCACAGCGGAGAGAAAGCCATGCCTTTCTCTTAATACTCTTAAAGAGATTCAGAATCCCAGGTTCCACCCATGACAGCAAAGAGAAATGAGATAAGTTAGCCTTATCTGTCTATGCACGATGCAGGTAAGGTTGAAATAGGCTTACACGCTGGGGAACTGGGTTTGCTTGAAGAATCACTGTTAAAGCTCTGTCTTGAACATTCCGAGTCACTAGAAGAAGCTGTGCTCTCAGAGAGGCGTGAAGAATCTGAATCAGTGTTCTGCTCATCATTGAGAGGCATTCTGATTCACTTTAGCTGCTGCAGTAAAGACCTAGAAAGACAAGCACACTTTCCATAAAACCAGCACTTTGTTTGCTTCTCAAAAGTCAGATACTGATGATTATGTTGTAAACTAAGAACAAGTATTTGCCTTTAGAAAGGTGTTACAGGAAGGATCTGGCTTGACCTGCAGAATCCTAGAATCATAGTTATTAACTACATCTGTTCTGCAAGAAGTTTTTATACTTTCTGCTGTTTCAAACTGTAATGCTTACTTTAGAGACAGTTTGCACCTTTGTTATACTTAAAATATGAAAGACTACCCACAGTAACCCCAGAAGCTGCTTGTTGTTGTAATGTTGAAAGTTCTCAACACCATAAAGGCATCTCATGATGTTACCATCCCCCACCTGACTTGACCAGCAAATGATGTTTAGCAATTAGCTTCCTTCCACAAACAGACTGCACTGAGAGAAACAACTCCGAAGCAAACAGAAGTTGCAGGGAGAGGACAGGCAAATAATTCAGACTACTGTATTTCTGACAGAATGTAGCCAAAAGTCTGGCCTGCTGCTTAAGGTGGGTCTTTACTCAGAATGAGATCGACTGTGACACAGACCCAAAAAAATACTCCTCCGGGGTGTAAGGGTTTTCCGTTTCAACTCAAGTGGTAACTTTGAGCCTCTAACATTACATTCAGCATACATGACAAGTAACATCAAGAACTGCCACGCTTCATAGTACTTCTGTCTACATAAAAAAAAAAATGCCTCCCAGGCAGACAATCTGCAACTGCAGAGAGTTTGGACAGCTGCATAATGCAATAGGGATGATTAATAGTTGTATGACAGGAAGTGAAAAATATGTTCATAATCATATTAAACTAGGAACCTGGAACTCAGCCATAATTACTGCCAAAGGAATTTGGCCCAGATACCAAAAGTAGCTGTCCTTCTTTGATTACAGCCATGAAGCACTCTGTAGTAGCCTTTGTGAAGAGACATGGCCACTAATGCTTTCTTTCAGCAAATTTAAGTAATACAACTTCGCTTGCCATTAAACTGCATTAACTTCAGCAGACAAGAAATATCACGCTTTACAACTGTTGAACTTGGAAAAAGCCACTCTTTTTCCAAAAGCAAAAGGATGACCTTTGTGTGCACTTATGTAAATCAACATATTGTGGGGTCAAAAGATAGATAAAAGGGAACTAAGAATAAAGATTTCTTTAAGCTGGCACCTAGTTACAACTTACAGCGTTTGATTTTTTTGGGTACCAGCTCATCCTGAATTGGCCTTTATAACTTGATGAGGTATTACACTGATGAGTATTCCCCTGTAAATTGATATGATTAACATTTGTTAAGTGCATATTTCTTCCTCCCCAAGAGGAAAGAGGATGCGTTTGAGTGCTTTATGTAATGTTCTATGCTAGGTTTTTTTGTGAAAAAATTAATCACATCAGTAACAACACAGCTGGCAGTTTATTACCTTACTGAAGAAGCCAGTAAGAGAGACTTTTGATCAGGATATGGAGGTCATGAGGTCAAGACTTACAGCATTAGTTGTGATTCTTAACATCATAACTCTTCTATTAGAACAGCAATTTTGTAATTTCTAGCAAACAACTGAAAATGAGCAGATATTTAAAATAGTATTGACGAAACAAAACTGAGAATTGCAAGAGGACCTAGAAACCAAAAAGCTGAGATATTTTTGACTTGGAAAGCGTATTGTTTAAGTTACAATTAGAAGTGAGTCACTAGTTAATGTTATGCAATAGACTAAAACTACGTCTTTGACCAAGATCTGTGTTACAAATCCCAAAGCTAGTGCTAACTAGAAACTAGTTGTGACCCAACTGTAGAACATGCTCCAGGTTGTGACCTAACTGTAGAACTGCTCACTTATACACAAGAACCCTATAAAGCCTGCCAAGCTTCTATTACCCTCCCGATACTGTTTCTGGGTCAGTATCAGAAAACTATTTCCAGGCTTTAGTCACTTATAAATCCCCTTTATTTATAACTTAATAACTAACCTTCAAAAGGTTAATGTTGCAAGTGGTCCATCGAAAGATTTGATTGACGTTGCTAGTGCACTGGCCCAAAAGGTCTTCTAAATCACTTGCCCAGTATGAGCACTTCAAGATGTGTCTACTGCTTCAGTCTAGGTGTTAAGAACATGGAAGAAATTAAATAACTATTAAACCCCCCAAATTCTTAGACAATTTACATTATTTCAAGAGCTTTCTCTTAACTGCTAGGATGATAATTTTAATAAATACTCAAATTCATAAATAAATATTCAGATTTGCAATATTCTAGATAGAAGAACTAAGCCAGCCACAGAGGCAAGTCAGCATTGCCGTTTTCTACACCAGTCTTGATTCCCAAGAAGACCAAATTGTAAAAAGGATTTTAATTTCTATGTTAACGTTAACACTTTACATCCTAGTCCCAGCAAAGGATCTTTCAGCAACAAATACTTGCATGTCAAAGAGGCCCATGTTCTGATGTACCAAGACCATACCTGTCCCTATGACACCTGCACACATGCAGATAGTAGGGTTGTCAGTACGGTGTTTAGGAAGGCTTAATTTAAACAAGAAGTTTCAACAATGCAACAGGAGATGACACACTGAAAAAGCATTGCAATCTTTGCCACAGTAAATGTATTTCCTTCTCGGATGCCTCAGATTGAATGGTAAGAAAGAATGGGTGTATTCTGCAGATTCAGAACATTATTGCTAAACTCTTAACTTTAAAAGATAAACAAGGCAGTGCGCACATCCAAGTAAACAGACATAACCACACAAGCAGAATTTGGACATGCCATCTACAGTTTTTAAATACACTGCCCAACAGCTAGAAAGTTTAGAGAACAGCATGTATTAAAAAGGCATTATCTAATTAGTTACAACAGAAAACTGAGTTACTTAGTCCTTTCTTTATAGCATACACTGAAAGAGCTGCTTTTCTTTATGCTTTTGTAGATATCACAGAGCTTCTCATAAATTACTAAGGGCCAAGTTAACATGTAATTTATTTAGATTATTATAACTTCCAAGTAAAAATACTTCAGAAAGCCCTTTAGCCTTCCAACATCTCTTTGTGCCTCAGCATCTTGAGTAGACAATACCACCTTCTTAATATTTTGAGTTATTCATTAAGTATTACATATTAGGCTGTTATTCTAACACACAGCTTAATATCCTACCTATTCTATTAAAGGATCAGCCTCTGGTTACAACCTACTTTACCTGTCCTGCATTGAAAACAACTGATGTTTACTATTGTATTACAGTGGGCTTCACTACACTGTTTGCTTTTGCTTTCTTGCAATGAGTACTATTTTGCAGGGTTTTTTAAGAATAAACTCTAAATGGGAGACCAAGATAAAAATATCTTCTTGATTTACAAGCCTCAAGATTCCAGTTAATTTTTTAACAAGGAAGAATTAAATTATCATGGTGTCTGCTACTAGACACTTTGCGATTATTCTTTTAGTAAAAATGTAATGAATACAATACTAGAGATACTTAAAGGCATCTTGTTCTTACACAGTCACCATATGACCCAACCCGATCATTCACTTCAAACTGATCAAGATTGCCAGGTCAGCTTCGTTTCAGAGAACACAAAAACACCTTTTATTTCTGAAGACTTCCTTTAGAAGTTATTTTAAGAAGCACCTGGAGGGGGAAAAAAAAAAAAAAGAAAAAAAAAAAAAAGGAAAAAAAAAAAAAAAAAAAAAAAAGACATCTTGGAAGGCTTTTTTTCTTCAGATACTATCTTCAAGAAAAGTTTTTCCACAGCCCTGCTTTGTTCAACTAAGTCCTTCCATCCATGAGTGCTTTTAAAGCACTCTGTCTAGTTTTACCACTATAGACGTCTTGACTTTGTTTATTCTACTGGGCTTACGTCCTCATTATCTTCAAGCTGGCACTGACTGAATCTCATTTGGACTCGAGTTTCCCTTTCAGTGCCCCCACCTTTGCCAGCACTCATGGCACAGGAACAGAAAAGAGCCTTTGTTAAGAGATACAGAACTGCCTCATACCTCTTTTTTGACAGCTTATAGCCGACATTTCTCTCCTTTAGCTTTCTAGTTCCGCAACTCTTCCCTCTATACACAGGCTTCTCTTGACGAAGGCTTAAAAATGCCCGAGCAAGAGCGAGATGAGCACGGGTGCGCCTAGGCCTGGGCCTGGGCCAGCCCCGGCAGACACCCGCCCTCGCCTCAGACATTCTGGCGTCGCGCTCCACAAGGCC